CGTGCGGCTGGCCACGCGAGCCTCACGCCGGGCAGCCCTAGGCCAGCCCTGCCTCCTCCAAAGTCCTGGGCCCAGAGCAGGTGCATAAAGGACGTTGGCACTTTGCACCCCTGCATCTGACGCTTCCCGTGGGCGGAGGGGCTCTCTGCAGCCCCCATGTTCTCACTTGTCTCGCCTCTTTCTCTGGACTCAGAGGACACCTTGACCCAGCTCTGTCTGCTGCCGGGGGAGGCCCCTGCAGCTCTGCCCCCCACTCGCCAGCTTGCCGCCCGGGCAAGGCCCTCTGATGGGTCCCAGGTCCCTCCGCTCACTCCCCAGGGCCCACACTGCCTTCTGTGTCCCCGTTCCTGGAGCCCTGGGCCTCTCCCCAACTTGGGTCCTGGATCAGGCCAAGGCCAGCCCGTTGGTCACTATGCAAAGGCTGCCCAGGAGGCTCCATGGGTGGCCAGGTGGGCACTGACCGGGCCCCCCCAAGACCCTCACCTGCAGGCTGTGACCCCTAAAGAGCAGAATTAACTCCTTCCTCTCTTCCTGCTTGAGCTCTGCCCCACCCACTGCCTGTCAGTGCCTCTCGCCTGGGCCTCAGGCTGCTGGGACCGCCCACTCCAGATCACTCAGTAATAAACTGCCGCTTGCACCGCTGCTGCCGTCCATGGCTCACCGGCCTCACTCCGCTGTCTCAGCCGGGGAGGGGGGTCTCTGGGTCCCCGGCCTTCGCGGAGGGGCGGCTGAGGAGGGTGGGACCAGAGCCCCACAAGGACGCCTTAAGCAGAACCCGGGGGCTTGATGGGGGGCTTCTCTGATGAAAACTGACTCCTGGCACCCAGCTCCCATCCCCTCTGCTCCTCTCTGGCCTGGACTGTGGCTCCTGGTAGGAGTGAGGGTGGATGCCACCTGGCGAGGATGGTCTGGACCTGCTCTTGTCCCCTGGGCAAGCCCTGGCCCTGAAGGTGGCCCCGTTCGCAGTCTTCCTGTCCCCCAGCCCACAGAGTGTCTGTGGCTCCAGGCGTGTGGAGGTGCAGTCCGAGGGGTCAGCTCACCCCGGAAGGTGACGGGGAGGCCCTCGCGTGTTGTAGCTCCAGGTGGAATTGCCAGTTTTATTACAAAGCAGCCCAGCCTCACCGAGGGCCTCGGCCTGGCCCTGCCGCGAGCTGAGGTGTGGGAAGACATGTTGACACAGGCAAACATATAATTCAAACACAGACACGCTCCCAGGTGGAGGCACCCCTACATGTACATTTACATGAAGGCATACACATGCATGCATGCACACACGCATGTATGGGTGTGCACACACAGACACACACACACACACAGGCGCTCAGTCAAGGGTGGAACATAGGAATCAGAGTGGTGGGGACACTCCTCCTCCCGGCCCTGGGCTCCTTGAGAACCGCGAGGCCTCCATGGGGCAGGTGGCTGTGCCAGTGAGAGGCCCTGATGTGCTGGGCGCCCTCGTGCCTGCCTGCCAGCCAGCCCTTGGGCTCCATGCTGCTGCTTCCTGGGCCCGAGGCTTTGCTTGGCCGCCAGGGGGCCCCTGTGGTGCTGGGCAGGCCCCCCTGGGAGGCCGGGAGGGTCCACTGAGCCACAGCCCCCAGGATCAGACTCAGGTCCGGCTGGTTCAGGTGTCAGGAGTCTTGGGGGACCCACACTTGACCTAACTCTTCCGCTGAGACTCCGGCCAGCGCCCCGGGAGGCGTCGCCGACTGGGCCCCTGGGTGTGTGGCGTCAT